GGGTGTCTGGCTTGGCTGCAAATAAATCTGCTAAGCAGGTTTCTTTTCAGGAGGAATTTGTTGCAGTTCTCAGAAATTGCATATTATTAATAGTCACACAACTAGTAGCAGAAACAAAAAGCGTGTTATCCTCCTCACAGGCTTTTGTAGCAGCTAATCATAGAGAATATATAGTTTGATTTTGCTGCAGTAAAAACGCAAGTTTTGAAGTCAATATTTGTAGTTTCCGAACAAGTTTTGAAGTCAATAAAAATAGGCTTACTTTCCTTTTTTGCATGTCTCAAATTATAGGCTACTTTCCTTATTGAGATTATGGTTGATTTTTTAGTTTTCTATTATGCCCCTATTTAATATGCTTTATTTTCAACAACTATGAATTACATCTATTTATGTTGAATACCTACCTTTCATTCAAATTACAACTTTTTATTCAAACTTTAAATAAATTTATCATGGAAACAAACTTGAGTTGAGACATATATTTGGCCCAAGTAGTGCTGGAAGTATTGGATTAGGACCAATATGTGAGGAAGATAGCACAACCGATGTACCGGAGAGCAATGTCCCGCAAGAAGATCCAGTTGATTTGTTACCAAATGCGGATGAAAGGACAATAGACCTAAGTGACGATGAGCGTGATATTGAAGAAATATCATTTGGAAAGAGGAAATTGACTTCAATTGTGTGCTCCCACTACAAAAGATAGAAAATTGGTGAGAAATGGAAGGCTGTATGCAATCATTACAAGAAACAGTTAGGGGGTGAAACAAAAAATGATACAAAGCATTTGCATGATCATTTGAAGAGATGTGTATTCCGTTATAAGGATAATACTCACCAAGCAACATTAAATTTCAAAAAGGATGCCACGAGTGGCAAGATCACAATGGGTACTTACTCTTTCGATCCAGATAAGTGTAGATATAGTCTTTCGAAAATGGTGATTTTGCATGAGTATCCTTTGTCTATGGTTGATCACATTGGATTTCGAGAGTTCTTACACGACCTACAACCATTGTTTAAGGTTCCTTCTCACAACACTTTGAAGAGCGACATTTTGAAAATCTATGAATACAAGAGAGCCAAAAATATGATTGCACTCGAAAAGATTGAGAGTCGAATTTCGATCACTACCGACATGTGGACCTCTTCTAATCAAAAGAGAGGATTCATGGTTATCACTGCTCATTTCATAGATGATGCGTGGAAATTACAGAGTCGAGTCATGAGGTATAGTAAAACATTACATTCACTTGTTCCCATAATTTACTAAAATGATATTCTTTTAGTTGATTTAATTTGTTCTTGAATGAACTCAAGTTTATATATGTGTCGTGCCCACACACTGCTGATGTGCTTTCAGAAACTCTATTAAGCACCTTGATGGACTGGAATGTTGATCGTAAGTTACTAACTTTGACCGTAGATAATTGCACCACAAATGATGCAATGTTCAGTATTGTGCTAAGTCAAATTTGTACTCGTTCTCTTGTACTGAATGGTGAATTTTTTCATTTGAGGTGTTGTGCACATATATTAAATTTTATTGTGAAGGATGGGTTGGACGTTATTAGTGGTAGTGTTGAGAAAATTCATGATAGTGTTGCTTATCGAACAGCCACACCAAAGAGATCTGAAAAGTTTGAGCTCTTTGCACATCAATTGAAAATTGATTGTGAGAAAAAATTGGTGCTTGATTGTAAAACAAGGTGGAATTCGACGTATTTGATGCTTAGTACTGTTTTGATTTATCAGGATGTTTTTCCATGTTTGAAATAGAGGGAGTCACGATGTAAATGTCCCTAGTGATGTTGATTGGGATTTAGCAAAAGAAATATGTGAGAAGTTAAAGGTTTTTTTCGAGGTTACTGAATTGTTTTCAGGAACAAAGTATCCAACTGCTAATCTCTTCTTTGCAAATGTTTGTGATATCAAACTGTCGTTGTATGAGTGGCTTGAATCTCCTTATGTGGAAGTTCAAAAGATGGCAACCAGTATGATGAAAAAGTTTAATAAGTATTGGAGCGATATTCATGAAATTTTGACTTTAGTAGCAGTGTTGGATCTGAGGTATAAGATGATGTTAGTTAAGTTTTATTATCCTCGTATTTTTAATCACAATGCCGCAAGTGAGATTGACAAAATATATCAAGTTTGTAGCAAGTTGGTGCACGATTATTAGAAAAAGAATGATTCAAGTGGGTCTGTAGCTCAGTCTTCTACTTTTTCTTGTCAAATTGAGATGTCAAGTGTTAATAATAAATCAGATCGCATGGCGGATTTTTATAAATTTGTTTGTAATGTTGAAGCTCCTAGTAGTGTGAAAATCGAGCTTGATACTTTTTTGGATGAGCCTATATTGCCTCGGTCAGATGATTTTGATATATTGACATGGTGGAAGGTGAATTCAAACAAATATCCGACTTTATCTCGAATTGCAAAAGATATTTTGGCCATCCCGGTATCTACTGTGGCATCCGAATCTGCTTTCAGTACTAGTGTTAGATTTGTTAGTCCACACAGAAATAGACTTCACCCCAAAACTTTGGAGGCTTTAATGTGTGCTTAAGATTGTTTATGGACCGATATTCACGGTATGATGTATATAATCATTTGCTTTTTATATTGTTTCTTTTATAAATTTTCTTATTATTAATTATTTTATTTTATTTATAGCGAATTCTGCACCGTCTGCATATTTTGGAAGTTGTTCCAAGATGAATGATGAGGATGTTGATGATGAGATAATTTTATTTATCACATAATTTAAATTTTAATCATAGTTATTATGATGATATTGAGTATAATATTTCTTTGTTTTTCAGGATCCATCTTTTACAATATCTAAACTTGTCGATGAATGAAGTTATGAAGATGGAAAAATATCAAATTTATTTTTGGATAAAGAAGTAAAATTTAGTTACAATGTAATTGTATTTGTAATTGTTTATTTTCGAATATTGTTTGTTTTGAGTACTTAATTTGGATGTTAGCGTTTTCACTTTTCAAATTGTGAATTTGAGGGGAAAAAAATAAAAATAAAAATAAACGGGGCAGAGTCGAACCCACCCTATTGCCATCTCTAGTTTGGCGTTAATTATGACAAAAAATTGTGTAAAAATAATAAAGGTATATATACTTTTAAAGTTCAAGGACAAGTATACCATTTCATAAACTCGCTTGTGCCAAAGAATGAGAATCCAACTTATTTACAATTATATTTCTATGATACTGAAAATGAAATTTGTAATAGACTGAATACTTTTGATAAGTTTTGTGAGTTTATTTTAAGAAAGTTGATAGATGTTCTAAACAAAAATCTCTATTCAAAGTTTTTCTGATCATTAAGTGATGTTAGTGATTTAGAATTATGTTGTATTTTACTAAAGTCTAATCCTGCTATTAATCAAAGAGTATATAACTTGCCAACATCAGAACAAGTGGCTGTAGTTTGGGTTGACGATGACCCATCTATAAATACTAGAGGTCGGGATTTATTAATTTATGGGCATTTAAGTAATGCATATAAAGTTCAATACTATTATGGTTGTTATGATCCTCTCCAATTTCCACTACTTTTTTCGTATGGAGAACCTGGATGGCATGAAGGTATTGAAAAGGTGAATGTAAGTGTTTCACAAGCTAGGGTTTGTCAGAATTTAATAGAAGTTAATCATGTCCATTCTGCGGATCAATTATTGGAAGTAGAAGATTATGGTAAACGATTTTAGCAATTTCTATTTTTTAAACTATTTTATTTATGTTATTAATTGCATTTAGTGAATGAAGTTTTTGTTGATATTTTTTTTTTCCTTCTTACAGTTTTGAAGGCAAAGAAAAAACGAATAACTGTATCATGTCGAGAATATTATTGTTACAAGCTCCAAATCAGGTGTGTAAATAATTGTATTATTTTACATGCTGGCAGACTTTTACAGCAATATGTTGTGGATATGTATGTGAAAATTGAAACAGCAAGATTAGACTATTTTTGTAATAACCAAAAGGTTATAAGAGCTGAACTATATCAGAGAATTGTGGATAGTGTACAAAATAGTGAGAATAAAGGTTATAAAATTGGTAAATCATTAGTGTTGCCTCTGGTTTTATTGGAGGTCCTAGGAACATGACTAAAAGATATATGAATGCAATGTCTTTAGTTCAGAGATATGACAAATCAGATGTATTTTTGACAATAACGTATAATCCAAATTGGTCTGAAATAAAATGTGAATTGAAGCACAGTGATGAAATACAGAATATGCCAGATTTATTAGTACAAATATTTCGTGCCAAGTATGAGAAACTGAAGACAGATCTGGTTAAGAGAAAGTTGTTGGGCACTATTGCTGCATATGTTTATGTTATTGAATTTCAGAAAAGATGATTATCTCATGCTCATTTTTTCCTTATATTTAAACGAAATTCTAAGATCCGAAACTCTATACAAGTTAATGAAATTATCTCATCAGAAATACCAGATAAAAAAAATACCCTTACCTACATGCTACTATTGTAAAACATATGATGCATGGTCGTTGTGGGAATTTGAATCCTAAGAATGTTTGTATGGAAAAGAATTTTGTGTGTAAAAATAAATATCCGAGAGATTACGTTGAAAATACTTTTTTGGGTAATGATTCCTACCCACTTTACAAGCGTCGCAACGATGGTGTAAGTGTTAAAGTAAGAGGGTGTATTTTGGATAATAGATGAGTTATACCATATAATCCTTACATTTTAGCTAAATATGATTCTTACATTAATGTGGAGGTGTGTTCTTCTATTAAATATCTATACAAATACGTATATAAGGGACATGATGACATTCATTTTACTTTAAATAAAAAAACAAACGAAGAATTCGTTGATGAGATTTCAAACTACCAAACAGTTAGATGGATATCTCCACCTGAAGCTATGTGGAGGATATTTAGTTTTGATTTATTTGATATATCTCCTACTGTAATCTCTTTACAATTCATACTAAAGATACTCAAATGGTTACATATAAGGAGACAGATGATTCATCAAAGGTTATAAATCAAGATTTTGTTCACCGAACAATGCTAACAGAATTTTTTAGAATGAATATTTCAAATGAAAAGGCAAAAACTCTGCTGTATAAAGATTTTCCAACCTATTTCGTATGGGATACATCCATGCGAATTTGGACGCTTAGAAAAAGCAAAAATGTTATTGGTAGAATAGTCAGTGCTAATCCATGTGAAGGTGAGATGTATTTTTTAAGAGTTTTGCTAAATCATATTAGAGGGCCAAAATCATTTGAAGATTTAAAAACAGTCAATGGTGTTGTTTTATCTACTTATTGTGAAGCAGCATTTTTCCGTGGTCTTCTTAGTGGAAATAACTATTCTGAGATGTGTTTATCTGAGGTAGTTGCTTACCAAATACCCGTATCATTGCGACGACTATTTGCCAATGCATTAAGTTTATCTTGACCTACAAATCCAAGGAATTTATGGGATAAATTTAAGAATTTCATGATAGAAGATTATTTACATAAAGGTTTCACACAATAAAGTGCTGAAATGAAAGCTTTACACTATATAAATTCTTTCTTAGAAGGAGTTGGTAAGAATATAATTGATTTTTGCTTTGTAGATTTTGATTTAATTGTGAATGATGATGATATCTTTGAAATCATGATTGCTGAAGAAACAACTAATATTAATTTTCAGTCAGACATACATTATAGTGAGAGTTTAAATAAAAAGCAACAAAATGCCTATGATATTATTTTGGATTGTGTTTTAAATGATAAGAATGGAATGTTTTTTATTGATGGTCCAAGAGGCACTGGAAAACTATATTTGTACAAGGCATTACTTTTTGGTATACGATCTCGAAATTTTATCGCACTAGCAACGACATCATCAAGTGTGGCTGCATCTCTATTACTAGCTAGTAGAACAGGACATTCAAGATTCAAAATTTCACTTGAAGTAAGTTGTGATATGCGCTGTTCGGTAAGTAAACAGTCTGCGCTTGATAAACTTTTAGCATTGGCTGGGCTAATAATTTGGGATGAAACATCAATGATTCATAAATATGCTTTTGAGGCTTTAGATAAAATGTTGAGAGATATTACTGAATGTCAATTACCATTTGGTAGAAAAGTCATTGTGTGTGGATGAGATTTTTGACAAGTTTTACCAGTAGTACAAAGAGGAACAAAAGATGATATAATGAAGACAAGTTTAGTTTTTTTCGCATTTATGGCCTTCTTTTACACAATTAGCATTAACCGAAAATATGAGAGTTAAATTAGATCCTTCATTTTGTGAATATTTGCTGAAGATTGGGAATAGAATAGAGAGAACATATTCATGCCAATGATTACACTTCCTAAAAATATTACCATCCATTTTGAAGATGAATTTAAATCATTGAAGGAATTAATTGACATTGTGTTTCCCAATTTCCAGACATATGAAAACAACATACATATTATGATGAATAGAATTATTTTAACCCCAAAAAATGAATATGTAGATTTAATAAACAATATGTAGCTTGAGAAATTTCAGGAGAGAAAGTTACATATTTTAGTTTTGATGAAGTGATTGAAAAAAATGAAGGTTTTATTGATGAATATTTTTTGAATAGTCTAGCTCCAAATGGTATACCTCCACATGAACTCATATTGAAAAAAAATTGTCCAGAAATATCAATCCTGCAGAAGGTTTATGCAATGGGACTAGATTTATTTGTTGTGACTTTAAGCATAATGCTATCTTGGTTGAAATTGGGATAGGAGAATATCGTGGGAAGTAAGTATATTTACCTAGAATTCCATTTATTCTTCTTGAAGGCGATAAATAGTCTGTACCATTTAAAAGAACTCAATTTCCAATTCGTCCATGTTTTGCAATGACCATTGACAAATCTCAAGGTCAAACTCTAAATTTTGTTGGCTTATATCTTCTAGAACCTGTATTTTCTCATGGCCAATTGTATGTTGCATTGTCTCGAGCTAGAACAAGAGAAAATATAAAAGTTCTTATCAAACCTTTTGTTAAAAACAAATCACATACTTGTTGTACCAAAAATATTGTCTATCATGAAATCTTGAATTTAGTTCACGATAAATATTAGAATCTTCAGGTATATGCTTAATTGTTTGTTATAATTATTTATTGATTATATTTATTTTTACAAACACAAAATTAATAACAAATCTAAACATATGACTTCTGATTGTCATAATGAAATATTAATTTTGCAAAATTTTATCTTTGTAAAAAGGATTTCTGAAGTTATTCTTTCCAGAAATATATTAATTAGTCTTCTTGCTTTGTATTTTCTGAATATGAGTATTGATCACACATAACTTTTTTCATTGTCTTACTTTTTTTCTGTTTACTAATCGTCATTTGTTATGCATATTAGGTTGTGTAGTTGTCAGATATTGCGTGGTGCTTAATACGAATACAATTGGTGAAGTTGATATTTAGAAGTTTAGATAGAGATGAAAAAATCGTTTCTGGAAACCACTTCTGTAAGTTAAAATAACTTAATCATTTTACCATTCCATAATTATATTCCTATGGTAAGTGATATAATTACAAAACACACATGCTGATTCTACTTGAAAACATCTTCTTGAATGTGAATCCATGTATATATGTGTGTTGATGTAACCATATATGTATTAATATATAATATATAAGAGGATGTTATGTTTTAATTAGAAAGATTGTAGTATTTTTTAATTGTAAAGAAAGAAAAAAGTGTAATTTCTATAAAAATCTTTATGCAATAGTTTAAGATAATTAATGAAAAAAGTGAAATGGATAAACATAAATATTAAACATTATTGGTGTATAAAGTTTCATAGATGAGTTAGAGTTCCATCGTTGTGATTTTTTTGTAAACCATGAACATTGGAGATTCGCTATTTAATAATTCAAATACACATGTATCTCCAATTTGTAGTTCCTTCTCTGTCAAAAAATTGGCCCAGCCTACAGTAAGTCGGCGCATCACACCGTTTGGCCTTGAATTTGCAGTGATATCCCAATTGTGATGTAAAGAATCATGAAACCGAACATTCCGCACATATCTTAGTAGATGATGTCTTACAAACCTTCCTGGTATAGACTTCAGAAAAATATGGATGATGTTAAGATTAAAATAATGTGAAAAAGGTAAATATAGAATGATATATTAAAGATAGCCTACAATTTCTCGATGGTTGTTTTGATTTAGCGTCACTGTTACTTCGAATGCAGGATTATTCAGATGTAAAGACCCATCTTTTTCAACATCAGAGCCATATGTAACCTCTAATCTAGAATGATCAAATATCCTCATATTGAACATTGAATTTCTATTATATTCAAATACTACAACAAAACCATCCTGTAAGTTATGATGGTTAAAAAATTGCTCACATCCATTAGTCAAATATGTTTCTCCATCGATTGTTTGTAATTGAATTGTTATAATTATACTATTATACGAAGTTAATTGTACTCTATCACCTAATTCTTGTCTCCAACAATTGACAAAAGATGTAGGAAGCATTTACAATATATGAAAAAAATATAAGCAGTAAATAAAATATTCATACAAATATGAAATGAAAGAAGATATTATATTTCATATAACTTACCAAATGGATGTTATGATTTAGTGAAACGTCGATAATTTTGAAGAAGTTATGTGGTATATTCATTTTTTTGTCGATAAACTGCAGTATGTATGATTTTTAACACAATTAAAGATTGAAAATTATATATCATTTAAAACTAAGAATTTATTTTGAAACAATTGTAGTAAAAGGATCAAGAAAGAAATACTACATTAGACCTGATTTTTTGGAAGAAAGCTTGGTAGGTAAAGATAAAGATATATAAATTGGTTAAATATAAAGAAGTGGTATGAGAAACTATTTAAATTAAACAATACTTGTCCTTTTTTGAGAAAAGATTTGATAATAGCTTCACGGGGTAGGAATATTGAAATAGACAAAGTAAAACATGGACAAAGTAGTTCAGACAAAACACCCTTCCCGATATTATTTTTTAAATGCTGCTAAATTTGGTTAGAAATGAATTTTATTACTAAGATGTAAAGTGTTGAAATAAAATAAAAAATGACTAATAAGATTAAGAAGAAATAAAAGTATAATTTTATGTAATTAACAAAAGAATAGTTTAGTTATACAATAAAACTATCCAATTGGTTTGATACAATTAATAATTAATAATTTAAATTACCAAAAAAAACAACACGCAAATTCTTCGCACAGTGCAAAGTATTAGCTGGGATGCTGCACACTGTGTGGAATAACTTTACTATGGTTTGGTTAAGTGCGAACAACTTTGCTATGATTAAGACTGCAAAAAAAAAAAAATTGGTTAACATATTAATCAAATTATTTGATTAATCGGTAAAATAATTATTAAACAATTTAAAATTAATAATTTAGTAAATAAAAATTTAAATCAAAACAAAAGGGAAAAAAAGAGGGAAATTCTCCGCATAGTGCAGAGTACATGTTGGAGTTGCTCTGCACTATGCGGAGCATCCGCACGCCTGGGTAGGAATATTGAAATAGACAAAGTAAGAAATAGATAAAGTACTTTAGACAAAACACTATTCCCAGGATTATTTTTTAGGTACTGCTAGATTTGGTTAAAAGTGAGTTTTATTACTAAGATGTAAAGTGTTGAAATAAAAAAAATGACTAATGAGATTAAGAAGAAATAAAATTATAATTTTATGTAATTAACAAAAGAATATTTTAGTTATACAATAAAACTGTCCAATTGGTTTGATATGGTCTAATATAGCAATCGATTGAACAATTAATAATTAATAATTTAAATTGCCAAAAAAACAACATGCAAATGCTTCACACAATGCGGAGTATTAGCTAGAACGCTCCATACTGTGCGGAGCAACTTTATTATGGTTTGGTTAACTGTGAACAACTTTGCTATGATTAAAATGAAAAAAAATTGGCTAATATATTAATCAAATTATTTGATTAATCAGTAAAATAATTTAAAATTAATAATTTAGTAAATAAAAATTTAAATAAAGAAAAAAGGAAAAAAAAAGGAGCAAAATACTCCGCATAGTGCGGAGTACTTGTTGGAGTTGCTCTGCACACAGCAAAATTTTTTTTCTTTTAGATTTTTTTTTCTCTTTTGTTTTCTTTTGAATTGAAATTATTATTTATTATTAATTGTTTATGTCATAAGCCATACTTCTATCTATCTGAATTTTACATGCATACACCTATGGTAAACTAATCTATTCCCATCCATTCCAAATACATTATACTCTAAAATGTACTTATATATAACTTGTCATATTCTAGAATGTACTTATTATATAACTTACCATACTTCATCGATTTTATCATTTTTTTTAACTTTAAACCATTTCATTTCTCTTGCACAAAAGTGATTTTTTTTTCCTTTTTAGTGCTCCAAACAGTGCGGAGCAATTTCGACAACTCTTGTAGAGCAAATTTTATTCCCTTTTCTTTTGGAATTTTTTTCCTTTTTTATTCATATTATTTTTTATTAAATAATTAATTATTATTGATTGTTTATTGTCGTGAGTAACTTGCCATACCTTTACCATACTACATTGTCCATACTGGTATGCATATCTTTTTTCTATTCCATACCTTACAGATTTTATTGTACGAAACTAATCCATTGCTCTACACATTTCATCATACAGAGACTAATCTATTTCTATACATTATACTCTAGAATGTACTTTTATATAATATACTTGATAAAAAAATTTTAGATTAATCAATCAACTGATTTACTTAGCCATACTTCACCGATTTTATCTCTATTTAAAATTTTTTTTTGACAAATTATACTATACCTATTTAAACCATTTCATTTCCCTTCTAAGATTACCATCCTCTTCTGCTGCACTCTAACTGCATTTGACATAGTATTTATTTTAAATTAGATAAAATGGAAGAAGAATATAAACTCATACTAGAAATTGTCTCAAACAACGAGAAGTGGAAAGCCAAGGTCATTGTTATCGAAAAACAATCACCAAAACCTTCTAAACAAGGCAATGGAAGATATCAACATCTGGTGTTGATGGATACTCAGGTAACTCTTCTTGTTGTAAGTTATAAAAGTTGGCT